GCCTTGAGTTCAAGCGGTAAAATCGGGTACATGTAAAGTGTCGGAGCGTTCGGAACCTGTCTTCAGCTTCAAAAGGGTGGTTGCGCGTAGAGTTTTGAGCTCCGTCTGCGGTGTCTCGTATGTTGCGCTATGCTTGCCTCATTGCATGTTGTGGCGATATGTGGCATGGCGGGCACCGCGCTACGCTGGTCGTGGTCTGCCCCCCGGGCAGCTCCTATGTTGTTCATGCTGCCTACCATGTATATAGGCATTCGGCATGCGGGAATCTAGAGCAGCCTCTGCGCTTGGCTCACGGACTTCGGTTGGGTTGGAGGGCCGTCTGTGCTTGGACCTTTGCTCCCTCGCCACTGCCCGCCCATTACAAGCTGCTGTCTTCTGTTGGGCCCGCTGTGCTTTGAGCTTTGCTCCCTCGGCACTGGCCCACCCACTCCACCAGCATCCACCAGCTGGAGTCAAAGTTGGTGAGCCCTCCATGCGTAAAGTTTGCTTTGCCTTTTTACTGCTGTTCGTGTTGTGGACGCGTTCCGAAACCATACCACGTGTTTTCAATACCGCCCGTGTTTGCTCGATGTTGCTTGATTCCGAGCTTCATGCTCGCTCACTCCCACGCTCCCACGCTCCCTCGGTCCTTCGCTCGCTCGCTCACTCCCTCTCTCCCACGCTCCCTCACTCCCTCACTCGCTCACTCACTCACTCAAACCAGTGTAAGTGACAGAAACAAAAGCAACATGCGCCTTTCGCATGTTCAAAAGCGTTCTGCGTTTTGAAGCAAGGCGCGTTGAGTTGCTTTCAGCGTTGCGCTTGAATCGAGCGGAGCGGAACAGGCGCATGCTCGCTACATGTGTTGAAACGCTCGACAAATCTCGAAAACATACATTTTTTCTTCGTGTCTTGAGCACTGAAGACTGGCACTTTGCCGCGAACTTCCGTGAACTGGAGTGGCAGGTCAGCACAGGTGTCTGGCATGGATTGCTCTTTAAAAGTAGATGTTGCAGGCAGTTCTGTGGGCCAAATGGATGCTTGGCATGAAACACATCGGAACATATGCCTGAGCAACAGCTACTCTTAAGCCACGGTATTCTGGCAATCTTTGTGCCTGAGGATCGGTCTCGTTGAACATCCTGGCTGGTACCAGGGTCTCGACCGGACGACTGCGAATAGACATGCTATTCAGGACCAGTTGTGGTCGAGATGTGGTGTAAGTTGTGCTACACGACAGAGCTCCATCCGTGCCGGTTGGTTCCATTATGAATTGCTGCCATGTGGTCGAAAAGCATCACCAGACAGAGCTCGTGTTGTCATGTGTTACGTTGACTGTGAGGAGTGGCTAGCGGACAAGGGGCAAGGCCGTGCCTGCAGCATTGCATACCAGATCCACATGTACAAGAAGATGCCGAGCGCTGCATTGCCAGGTGGTTGCAAGAAGCCATGTGGTGGCTCCATCGGTGGATATCCATTGCCACCTCTGGCGGGGTTGGGAAACATGCAGCACACGTCCGTCATCCACCGTGACAACGTCAGAGTGTGATGTTGCCGAATGCCTTGCCTAAAGAAGCCTACTGAAGCTTCGTTCTCAAGTGAATCGTGTGGTCAGCTGAGACAGTACATGAAAGCTGCCAAATGTTTTGGAAGGACAAAGGCAAGCCGTCATTGTATTGTTTCTCCGTGGCCAGAAAGGGACCTGCCTCGCATCTGCAAGCAGCATGTTTCAGCGAGAAAAAGCCTTGCATTGTACAGTCTTGCATGATCATGTAAGCTCCTGACGAGGAAGCCGGAACGAAACCAAAGTCAGAGACTGTCTCGAAAGAGTAAGTTTCAGTCGCACCTTCAACAGAATCAACGAAGTCTTTCCCCGACTGCAAAGCAGCACTCCAGGGACATCCAGGGACCGGATCCTTCAGAGTAGCATGTCCGAGCATTGCACTAGCTAGGAAGCTACCAGACCAGGAAGGGCCATTTTTATGGGACATTGTTGTCCATCCCTGCTCCATAGCCGTCACAGCTTGAACCTCTGTGAATCCACGGATGCGTAAGTGCAAGATCTCAAGTTCTGATGCTCTGAGCCTGAACACACAGCTTCTGGCCTCAGCTCCAAGTGGCTGTCCTGTGTACGTGGCTGTCAGAATAATCTTCAAGTGAGTGTTTGCAAGATGGACCCGTTCCAGCTTGAGTGAGAGATGCTGACATTCAATTGCTCAGGAAATGGACATAATGTACATGCAGCAGCAGATCAGAAGTGGGATATTTGGGTGCGATGGCTTTTCCGCTACATGGCAGCACGATTGGTGCCATGGACCAAAATCCAGTGCACGCCTGATGATCTCCAGCACTATACAAGCGCTAGGTCTACAGCGACAGCCACGTAAACATTGATGGCTTCCAGACGATGCTCAGCCATGTCGTCTCGGTGGTTGTATAGCCTATATCGAACGGCAGGTTCGGAAGTCTTTCGTTTCGGTTGCTACTTTCAGCATTATCGGGGTTTGCCATCCCCAGCTGTTCTGAGCTGTTCTAACCGTGGTGGGTGAAAGGCTTTCTTTGCATACCATTCTGCAGCAGACGGGCGTTGAGTAATTGGAAGATGTTTTTCTTCGCCGCGCCTGTTGCTTGAGACAGAATGCTCGTGCATTGAACGTCGTGTCGTGGAAGCGGACTACACTACACTCATGGTGTGCTTCTTGCTAAGGAAGCTGATTCCATCCACTTATGCCGGAGTAAGCCGGGACGGATATGCTGCCAACTCGCAGGTTTTCATGAAAACCTGGATGGCAATCCTGCTCCTCAACTGCACTCGCAGTGCCCTGCATGGAAGACCTGGCATTCTCGAAAGGACCGGCAGTGAGTGGTACAAGTACGACTTCATTGCAAAGGCTTGCGATGGCATGACTCGCCATGCAAGTGGAGCGAAGACGTGGTCGGTCAAACAGTTGCATCGTGCTTTTGAAATTTCCCTGTGAGGTCGATCCTGACTGCGTCTTTTTCCCATCGCGGCTGCGAGGACACGTCGCCAAGTATGTTGGCCAGAATGTGTTCTTTCTGATGCCTGACCTGATTAGCGACTGTTGCGGTGAAAGAAACTCGTAGACAAGCACTTGCTCGGCTAGCTATTTTGGTCTCTAGATACTTCAGAAGACGAAGAAGCTTCTCGTAGCAAACTGCAATGCCTATAATGAAGACCACTCATGTGTAGACAAGGGTTTGCCAGTGCCTGTCACTGAGGAACTGCGGCAAGTATATTCCGGAGCCTTGGCTCATTCGGAATTCATCGCTAAGCCAAAGTGGTGGTAGTCGATCCGTAAAAGACATCAAGTGCCATGTTTGCTGCGAGGTGTCGTTCGTTTAAGTTGCAATGTTGTACTAGTGATCATCGGGAGTATGGGCTTGATGGGGTGGGGCGGGCTGTGGGTAAGTCTGATGCTCACCCTCCGAAGCTGCAAACAGTTCCTGAACAATCCGCCGAAGACTTTCAAAGAAGCAGCTGGTAGGAAACGACCTGTGTAATGTCTCGACTTCCACGGAATCGAGCCTTGAAAGGAGAAGGCTGGAACTGGGATTGCCCGTGGCTGACACCTGAAAACGGCTCAGCAGCTCTGACCTGCCGTGCAGGTGCATGGCACACGGCCTGTTTTCACGCAGATGCAGACTGTCGTAGTCTTGCAATGGAACGGTGCACAGTGCTGCTGCTGTTGTTGTTGTTGTTGGTTCAGTCAACATCTCAGTAATCTCAGTGTTGGCGAGTTGGGCACAAAAGCACAAACTCGCTGATGCAAGTGACGGGCAAAGTCGCTGCATTGCTTGATAGGGCATGACAGGGCATAACATCTGTCTGCGGAAGAGGTCTAGTACTGCCTTCTCGTCACGTCAAGGTCACTATGTACGGGGCCCTTGAAGTCTTCTCGAAGTCTTCGCTGGGTGCATACCTATCGCAGCACGCAAGGTGCCAGCCCCTTTCCAAGGACTCAGGTGGTGATGTCGTTAGGTAGCATGTGGTAGGCAGTGCTGTGCTAAGCGCACTGAGGTCCGCAGTGCACAACTCACCTTTAGAGCCTTGTGTGTTGCAGCTTGCCAGCCATTGGATACGATGCCGTGTGCAGTTGCGAGCAGCGATTCCCCTTTGGTGCTTGGGGCGAAGACAAGTACATGACCAACTGTCTCGAAAGCCTGGGAAGCAAACCAGCCTCCCGGAAAGAAATCTTCGCTTGTGGTGGTGTGGGTGTAGTTGGAGCTTCCTTGATGCCATGGGCCCGACTGCGGTGCTAAGCAGGTTGTCGACTTTGGAAACTTCTTGCATGACGAGCGATGCTGGGGCGTGGACTGTGGAAACAAGAGCCTCGGTCAGAACTCCGAGAGAGGCAGAGGCTTTTTGTTTCCACAAATTCTGTCGTTGGGTTTGTTCTAGCTACCATCGAAGGCAGACTGTGGCATTCCATGCGTTCAAGCAAGTCGACAAATGGTACAACTGCTGGCTTCTTTCCGAGAACGACGGATACTGAGGATGCAGGAAGTCTTTTTTACTAGACAGCCGCTGAGTCTTGCAGTCATTCTGTGAGTTCTCTTTATCTGTTCCCGTGTAGTCTAGAAAAGTAATTATGGCATGGATGTGGATCAGAAGGATTGCGCCACAGCCTTTCTTAGTACTCAGCGGAATATTGGTTGCTGGAGCCTTGTGCCCCGCTTGAGCATCGCGCTGAGCAGACAAGTCATAGATCGCACGTCTGGAGAAGTGCAGAGCCGAAACGGCTGACGCGAAACTCGAAATTTCCTGGAAATCGTGCAGCGATCCTCCTGGTGACTTGTGGCTAGGGTCTATCTATGTCTTTGAGTTCTTGAGAGTTCAACGCCTAGTGCAAGAAAGCACCAGAGCTCAACAAAGGCCAACGAGCCCACGTTGACGAAATCTCGAGAGGCAAAGCTTCCGCGTGACTTAGCATTCCGTCGAAGTAACAGAGCCTGTGGGCCTACCTTTGTGGGACCCCTGGCCTTCTGACAGAGGTTCAGCTTTCAGCTGTGGCCGGAAGATGAATTCCCTGAGCATGCGAATGTCGAGGATAATCGAATCACATTTCTTGTCAGCTTTCTTTGCTTTAGTGAGTGGTGGAGCCATGGGTAGAAAGAGGCTGCAAACATAGATAGCAAAAGACCAAGAGCCGCCGCAGTGTCAGAAAACCAGGCGGAGTTCAAACATGAAAACAGGGTAAGCCGCCGTGCTGCCTCTCGGCTCCTGCTTCTCTGTGAGTCTTCCGGGGTTCAAAGTTTACGTCACTAGCTGCACTAGCTATAGCTTTGCTTCCCCACCATCGGCTTCTGACACTGGCCTGTAGTGTCCCTTGCTTCCGTTTCTCATCTTCGGGGTGTTTACGAACATCGGTCTTGATCTCGCATCACTCGTTTGAAGGTTCGCGGTTTCCCATCCCTGTGTCCATGACTTTCGGCAGCGATCACTCCTTTGGTTAGGCTTCGCTTGTCAGTCATTCGCCTGGTGCTTGCTGACTCTATTGGCCCTGTTTCCGGTCCAACTTCTTTCTCTTTCTGGTGTTGATCGCAACATGACTGCCATGCCGAGCATGAGGCAAGCTGCGAGCACAAGATCCCACCCGATCAAAGCTAGGTCTGGATTCAATTTGGTTCCCTAGGCTTATGTCTGCAAGTCTTCAAGTCGGAGACAACCCTTTCAGCTCGGCAAGATCGATTTCATTTTCTGTCGTGGAAACAGACGGCCATGCTCAGACTCCTGTTTCTGAGACCTGCATTCTGCGAAGCTGGATGCAATGTTTCAGAGCTGAGGAACCGAGGATTGTGGACAAACGGTGCCCCAAGCTGCGCAAACTGCTGTTTGTTGTTGCAGTCGCTTGCCTTCCGCAGAGCTCAGCATGCCCGTTGAAGTCTCATGCTCGCAGCTGGGTGCGAGACCACCCTTATTATCACACTTTGCCAGATGAAACCGAGAATGCAATCATAGGTGAGACAGGTGAGAGGCCATGAATCCATGAAGCAGTCCGAAGCTTTGAAGCGCCGCGATATGGAAGTGTTTAGAGGGATGGCTTTCGTGGAAACTTCGGCCGCTGCATGGAGTTGAGCCAGACTCCAAGCACGCAGCGAGAAGTCATTGGATTCAGTGCCGGGGCCGACAATGCTGAGCGTAGCTTGTCCAGGAGGATATGTGAACGGACAAGACCTCGGGCCGGTGCAACATCTTCAGAGCATCTAGAGATCCCCTTTAGACAGTGCCATGTTTCTTGCAACAAAGGAAAATCACAACTGTTTTGCCAACCTTGTGGCATGCATTGCGGTCGATGATTCTATGACTGCATGGCACGTGCTTGCGCCAAATCTTTCTCAGTCCAAGCAGACGCCGATTGAACATGCTGAGCGTGCAATTTCCGTAGAACCAGACAGACGCTTTGGTGGATTCTAAGAGCGACCCCTGGCACTTGTAAATGACAGTCCTGCGCTCGCAAAAAAGCACCAGGCAGCCAGAAGCACCTCGTATTCCATACACATCGTGTATTTGTCTGAGTCCAGACCAGGCTGTGCACGCATGATGCCGACTGGGAGGAGGTGGAGATGGCGTTTTCCGTAAAGGCTTCACGTGGGCAGCGGGATGACCAACTGACGGTAAGCGAATCCACGTACGTCGAGGCCGTTGAATCGGAGCTGTTGAGCCTGGAAGCTGAAGAGCAGGCCTCATGCCGTGGGTTTGTCGTCAAGTGTTCAAGCTGGGGTTTCATTCAGAGGACCTGGACTTGGAGCTTGACAAGCTGTACAGCAAAGCTGCGCACTTGTGTTCAAGCCTTACAGCCCTGAAATCGTCCTGGAGCAGGATGGCAGCAGTGTTCATTTGCGAGTACCCAGCATTCGTTTCCGTGTCACTGTTCTTTCGTTCCGCGCACCTCCAAATTTGATGTGGGCTTTCATGCTTCGAGCAGAAGGATTGGCGCCACTCGGCCGAAGTTTTCGGCGACATCTGACGAAGACGGGCGGTGTGTGCAAAGCTCGTCTCTGGCTGGCCTGGACACAGCTAGAAAGAAAAGCCCCATGCTACAAGGTTTTCCGATGCGGGATACACCTCAAGTTCTGTCGTTGCAAGGCATAGATAAAAACCAGGTGGAAGCCTAAAGCCCCGCAACACAAGTAGCGTGTTTGCCATTGCTGTCTGATTTGCAGCAGTGCTCTTGCTGCCAGTCGGAAGGTAGTCGCCAAGTCTCCGTGACAAAGTCGACGATTCCATTTCTTTGATGTTTGTGGATGCGTCTGCTTTGTTATGATCACGAAAGCTCCTCGTGAGGGAGCTTCGCTCATTACCTCACGGAGTGAGCTTGGG